GCCTCGAACAGGGAATGTTAGCCATGATTCTATGTGGTTCAAGATATATGAGGTGAATGGTAGGGGGTTAAATCTGTTTTGGAGCATTGTGATGATGGAGGAAGAGGTGGAAAGCATCCAAGTTTTGAAGGTTTGGGATATCATGGAAGGTAGTCGGAAGCAATTACAAGTAATAAAGCGTATCAGCAAGTTTTATCGAGGTTACAGTGAGGAAACAAGGGATCGATGCAAAGAGAAGTTGTGGGAAAGGTAAGTGTTGGTTAAAAGAAAGAAAGAAAGAAAGATGATAAATAGTAATAGTTGTTTGTTTTCTGGTGGCAGGGATTTGGAGGTTCCAAAGAGTTGGTGGAAGGTGGATATATCAGCAATGAGTTTAACCAAAGAAGAAGCAGGATCTTCATGGTCCTGATGGCAAAAACTGGCACTTGGTTTTTGAACCGCTATGATCCTCCAAAAGGCATGACGACTTCTCATCTCTACCGGTCTTTATGAAAGAAATTAAAAATAAAAATCGATCGTTACGTGTCGGATTGGTCCCTTGATCAGTCCTTTAGTTTTAACTGTTTTGTTTTGTGTGTTTTATGTATCAACTACTTATAAGATTTTTATGACGTTATTAGTAATCTTTTATTTAAAAAAAAAGTTAACTGCTTCTATAATTCTCCATATTATACTTTTAAATGAACCAACGACACGAAAACCTTACCCATCGAAGGCATGTCCCCTGCATCAATCACACCATGAAAACTTATACTCCTTGCTGAGTGTCGAGATCCATTGAAACGATAATAATTGGATTTCATAAAGGCAATCGATTGGTTGTGAAGAATACTTTAGGATAACCTTATTATTTCGATGTCTGCAAATCAAAATATAAAGTTGTCCAAACTGTTAGTCTTCCAAAAATGGCCGATTGCTTGGCGAAATATATTGTTAATCCACACATGTAAGCAACTCTTCGAGCGAGATAGTTGATGGAAGACGAATAACACCCTTCGATAATCGAAACACCAACGGACAATCGACAAAGCAATGATACTGGGTCTCGATCTCAAGACAACAAAACGGGCAAAGTAGGGAGCGGATATCCTAACCTTTATCAATTAAAGACGTCCATAGAAGAAGCACACCTTCCATGGGGTTATCGGACACCATTGAGTTGGGCAACATGAACCTGAGCCTGCAAGTCTTTCAAATGTTTTCATATTTTTATCGGTTAAGATTTAATTATACAAATGTCGAATTTTCAAGAATATTTATTAAAAAAATATAATAATAAAACAGCATGTTACCACTTAAGAAGTTAATACAAAACAAATCTTGAAACTCTATTAGAGTAATCTTGAAGCTATCCGTAATAATTATGAACTTGTGGGTACRGACTTGGACCAAAAAACTCTAGAATTTTATTGTTTAGTAGGTCCATAATTTATGGACCTAATAACTTTTAGATAAAAATAATTAGGAAGTTAATTTAATTATAAAATATGGTTTTAATTTCAATGTGAATGTGTGCTACATTGACTGAACAAATAGGCATAATGATTAAATTATTAACGAGGATGACAAAAACAGGTTCGTTACTAGAAGACGACAAACTCATATTCCTTTCTATTTTGTAATTAAGAGAGGGGGAGGGGGGGAAGGGTTTTTATTTATTTATTATTATTAAATTGGATTTGTGGATTTAATGTCGTTTATTAAAAGCTTATCCGGATAAGTGTTTATCATGTCATATTATCTTACTGGATAAATATGGTAAAGACTAAGATCTTACCGGGTAAGAATGAGACAAGGACCAAGAGTGTTACCCGGTAAGTAAGGGCGATGACTCTTTCACGGGAAGCGCTTACTGAGTAAATTGTTGCATACGATGCCGTTTTGGTGAATTAAAGTCTTACCCGATAAATAAGTGGTAGTGTTAAGTTTTATCGGTAAGCGCTTACTAGATAAGTGTTGGATAAACGCCTTAAAAAATTAAAATAAGATGATTATCCTCTACAAAAAATCGCATAGTTATAAATAAGGGAGAATCATTTCAGCCTACCAAGTTTGTTAGCAATTTCCCTCCCATTTTTTAATTTAGGTTTAATAGTACATCCCAATAGGGGACTACCATACTTGTTCAATTACCACCTCAAAAAAATTACCACCTCCATAAGTAGAGATAGCCAAATGGGCCCGATCCTGCCCGGGACTGGTTTTAAACCGCCGGTCCTTAATCAGTTATGGTAGGTCCAGCCCGGCCTAGGCCCGGTTATGGGCTCGGCTCGGTTTTTCCAAAAAAATGTATTTTTAAATGTATTTATAACTTTTTAAGTGTATTTAATTGAAAACCAATGACAAAATTATAACAAAATGTATTTTTTTAAGTGTACTTAATTGTCTTATTTACCCTCTATCTACTATATATAAGTCATATGGTGTATGGGGGATGATACCAACTCACAAACATTCACAATTTTCGCAAAAAAACATATTTTTAAGTGTATTTAATTGACCTAGTTATATATTTTCAAATGTATTAAAATAACATTTTGTATTCTTTAAAAAGAACTTCAAAAAAAACATAAAAAAATGATTTTTAATTTTTTTCCACATAGGATAGGACCAGTTTGGGCCCGCACAGGATCGGGACCGGTTTTCATAATCGGGCCTCATACATCTTAACCAGACCTTCGTATTTAAGTGGGTATTATTTACAAAATCACTATTTTAAAACCAGGACCGATTTAGATCCGACTTAACCCAGCCTGAAACCACTTTTTATCCATAAATAACCATTCTTCAACTAACAAAAAAAAAACAAGTTTATGTGAGGTGGGTCCATGAGAGTTTCGCAATTGAAGGAAAAGAAATGTTGGGTGGTTGAATGCTTTTTTTTTTTAAATCATGATGTTCCACATGTTCATTCACACCTGAAGTTTTTTAACTTATTAATGTAATTCCGTAAGTTAGAGGAATGATTATTTACTGAGGTACTGATTTTTTAAATCTTAGGGGTCGTTTACTAAACACTTATTCAGTAAGCTTTTACCGATAAAATTTAACACTACCATTTACTTACCGGGTAAGATTTTAGTCCACTAAAACGGCATCGTATGCAACAATTTATCCAGTAAGCGCTTACCATGGTAAGAATTGTCGTTTGCACTTATCGAGTAAGACTTTCGGTCATGGTCTCCCTTTTACTGGGTAAGATTCTTGGTCCTTATCATATTCACCCGGTAAGGTAAGGTAATGTGACTTGGTAAGTCTTGCCCAGATTAACGTTTGGTAAACGGCCCCTTAAAAGAAAAATAATTAAGAAGTAAATTTGATTGATTGAAATGATTATTTGTACCATTTTTCCTATAAATAATTTAATATATATATATATATATATATATATATCGTTTTTTATATTTTTGTTTATAACAACTCGAACCTAGTTATATTTTAGCCATAGATGATTTAAAACTTATAATAAATTATTTTATCCAACATATCTAAGCATCTCTTAAATAAAATATTATCATCATACTTTAAAACTTATAATAAATTATTTCATCCAAATGTATAATTTGACTTAATTTTAACCTAAAAAAATTACATATAGCAGTTAGGGGTGCTCATGGGTTGGGTTGATCGAGTTGAAGACATTTGATCAACCCAACCCAATGCTTACGGTTTGAAAAATCTTAACCCAACCCAACCCAAATGAAAGTGCAACCCAAACCGTACGGGTTGGTTGGATTGATACTTTGATACATTAAAATATTTTTCTAACCTTGAATATGTTATTTCTCTACTCATAATTTATTTTCCATCGTCAACCATTTGATACAACTTATACATACTTCTTACGTATATCACATTCAGTTAATTTTCTCAATTTACGTATATATGTTTAAAATTATTGAACATATATACGAATGAGTCATATAGAGATGTGAATAGATTGAAAAGATGTGTACATGAAGAGCGTACGTGATAGTATTATTGTCTAATGCATATACTAATATAAATTCAACAATCATATTAAATCCAAGAAATAATAGGATATCGGGTTCATCGGGTTGGATTGGGTTCAAATAATAGTAACTCAATATCAAACCAATACCTACGGTTTGAAAATTTTACAACTCGAATAGACATCGCGTTGCTTCGGATTGAGTTATTTCACGCTGGGTTGGGTTGGTCGGGTTTTTAAGCACCCCTAATAGCAGCACTCAAAGATTACTAACGGTTTAAAATTTGTTGTCTTATATCAGATATATGGTTATAAGAAAGAGACAAAATTTAAAATGTTGTTTATGTGTGGAAAGTATTCCATGTTAAATATAGTTCCCATAAAAAATATCATAAATAATTCAAGTTAAAATTTGCAACAAATCTAAAATTTTGTAAACGATTTATAAGCCTGATGATCTAATGAGCTGCAAAATGATGATGTAGCATCAATAACTCTAACGTCACATGAATTAATGACAAATATTCGTTAAAATTCAATGTAATATTTAAAAATAAAAAATAAGATAAACCCTCCCCCTTCCTCTCCCTCTATCCCTTTCCCGTCTTATATCACTCTCCCCCTTCTGGCTTCCTTGGCGACTCTTCGCAAGTGATTTGGGTGGCTTCTCATCAACCCTTCTTCGTTCTTTATCTGGGTGCTTTTTTTATTAGGGCTTTATTGTCGACATACAGAAAACCAAAAGTCCAATCTTAATGGATGATGAAATTCCATAGGTATTTGTTCATCATGCTAATCATCAACGTCATATAAAATCTTTCTGTAATGTGTAATTCATGGGTTTTGTAGATTATGCATTCGAAGTTTTGCAAATCGAGTGTATTTTACGTGTGTTATATGTACATGAAAACTTTATATATATATAATCAAACGCTTTCTATCAAATTAAAATTGTTTAATGATGGCGTAATTATGAAACTTTCATGGATTTATAAAGGTTTGATAACTAGCAATCAAATCATATAGAAAATGGAAGAAAGAAAGTTGTTGCTACTCTTTTTATAAATTATGTGTCTACATTTCTATTTTTAGTTTATCTCAAAATAAATGTTCACTTTCAAAAGTAGGTGTTGAAATATTTTAGTTATAACCTTAATTATTTGATTAAGAAATTTGATAATGATTAAATTATTAAGGACTAAATAGTCTTTTAGTTAATTAAAAAGTATAACAATTACATATTTTTAAATCTATATGCTTTTACATTATAAACATTTATATCGAAAAAAATATAAATCTTTTAGAAAAACGATTTTATTGTTGTTGACAAAGCAAAAGTGAGACAAAAAGAAAGATTCGGGTTTGTTTCGGTGAAGACTAGGAGTGTTATTTAGGGGCTGTTTGTTTACATCTGAATGATACCATTAAGAGGTAAAGGTCTGATTCGGTCAGACCTAATCTTGTTTGGCAAGACTTTTAGAAAAGGTCTGAATGATATTTTTCCTCTTAATCGCTCCTTCATCTACCCCAACCCTATACGATTCAGATCTCATTTTTTCCAATATTATCCCTCGCCTTCTCATTCGCCTTCTCATCCTCCAGGTACTGTCCATGTCCATCGATTCGGTCATTCTCTCTTCCCGATTCACCCCTTATCGTTTCCCTCTAGTTGATCGAACCAACRATCGCATCCGTTGAAGAATCGATTGTAGCACCTGTTGAAGAACCGATTGTAGCACTGTTGAATACACAACGTTCGATTCAAGGTACCATCTCTCAACTTTAGTATGTGTTTAGCGATTCAACTTTCATTTCTATATGTTTAGTGATTTGGGTTCAAACCTGCTATTTTTTTTACTGTTTAGTTGAGCCATGGGTTAAAATGTCTACTGATTCACCTCTTATTATTTCACTGTTTTCTTTCAATTTCTTGTTGGGGAGCCATTATTTTAAAATGCATAACAGTTGACAACTTGGGACTCCATCTTGATCACATTGTTGCCATCTATCTGTTTCTAGTTAAACCTGCTGTTTTTTATACTGGTAGCAATGAAGCCTAAATTTGTGATGCCATCCACTGCAGTCCTGATGTTCTATTTGCTTGGGACAGGAGGGTACCTATTTTCCATGGAACAATTCCTCTTCATCCCCTGTTTTTACATGCCTCATAATCAACTAGGATACTTCCCTTTACTTCCTATAATTGGACCATTGGTAGCTTTATTTTTTATGGACATAAGAACCAACAGATATGAGATGATATATCCTAGCTTTATGTATATGAGATGATATATCCTAGCTTTATGGAATGATATAATATTATGTAATGGCTTGGACCATTAATTATTTTCTATTTTTCATTTAGAAATTTCCTYCAAAACTGTTGTCAAACATTAATTTTCATTAAACACAAGACTGGGAGTAAAATGGTAATTTTATGTCATTCAGACTGTTGATTCAGAACAGTTTCCAAACAACTTTTTTCTATCTGGCACTAAATCATACAGAGTCTCTTAATCATCCTGACCACTTAATCATGCTGTACTAAACCATTCAGCAACTGCCAAACAGCCCCTTACTTATGAATTTACTTACGAAGTGAACGACGTCGTAAGGAGGCCACTTGACGAACTTTATGTAAACTTGGTGAGCAATCCAAAGAAAAAAGTCAACCAAATCAATAACCAACATATCACTCTTTCACCCCCTGAATTTTGTCTATATTTCACTTTACACCCCTTTAAATTTGGGATTAGATTTTTTAGTAATTTTTTTTACTTCAAAATTCACATGTTTTTCTCGTGCAAATGTCTGGAAATTTGCTAATTTTTATGTTTATCCTTAAGCATTATATTTGGCTAATAATTAAACATTTTTCATTAAACTACGTATTAAATCAAATTTTGTGTTTATTTTGAAACATATGCAACAATTTTATAAATATATGCCATCAAAGAAAATAACTTTAAAACAGGGTAAAGAAACATATGTTTTACAAAAAAAAATTAGTGTCGTAAAAGGTGTCACCGTATTATAATGTTGATTATGTCATTGTATTAATTCTGTATTTACAATAATAACATATCTTTGTCTTGAAATAGTTTGTTTAGATGGCTTTTCTTCCATGAGTTTGAATCTTATTTTCAAATATTTTCTTAATTTTTAGTTGTAAATTTCAACTTTATTGTGATCTCTGAAAAAGATTACAATCAACAAATTCAAACGAAATATCTTACATATGAAAAATAAGAAACTTACCAACAGACCACTAATGACTTTTTTAAAATAGGCATAACTTCAATTCTTATAGTCAAATGATGGCATCACTTGAAAAAAATTCTTAAATTTGTCTCGGTTTAGAATAATTCTGATGCATGTTAAACTTAAGGTTCTAAATGGCGTGAGACGTGGCGTGGCCGCGAGGTTAAACCTCAAGCCTTACGAATTGCGGCGAGGTCAAACCTCAAGCCGCCTCCTCCTCCTCCTCTCTCTCTCTCTCTCTCTCTCTCTCTCTCTCTCTCTATATATATATATATATAATGTGTGTGTGTTCATCTCATCTCAATATTTTAAACAATAATGATTAGGTTATTAACAATTTAAATTCATATAAAACGATAAATAAAAGAACTATGGATTGATAATTTGATATCAAATATACATGGATTACAAAAATGATATCAAATATACAAAGTAAGTCGGTGTCTATATTCTCTGTTTGGTAATCAAACAACAAAGAACAACAAATGAAAGTAATTAAACAATATTTTTCGTATGTTGAGATGTAACTTTGGGTTTTTTTTTCCTTATTTTGTTGATCAAGTATTTGGCCGTATAAACTATAAAGCTATATTTACATTTACTCTTATTCAAATTTAAAAAAAATGCAAATTTCCTTCCACGCCTTATAACATCATAACGTGCCATGGGCCACTATGGCGAGCTCCACGCCTTATATCCAAGCCAAAGGAACATGATGGCAAATTTGCGCCGCACCATGAGATGCCAAGGCGCGTTTTTAGAACATTAGTCAAATTTGAAGAAGCCACCACCTCATTTTCATGTCAAATTAACGTGTCTTAGTTAGTGGTGGTTGTTTTTGTGTGTGTATATATATTGATGTTAATCAATAAAATCAGTCGTTTATTTAATGCATGAGAGTTTGATAAAAATAAAAACTTGATTTTCTTATCAAATTGATCACGATTTCTAAAATACTAACCGAAATACTACTGGAAGGGTTAAAATGTAATCATTTTGAAATTAAAGGTAAAAGTTTGGAATTGATACAAACTACAGGGACTTTTTTCAGCCATTTATCCAAAACCATGCTACAAATACCCTACCGAGGCCAGTCATTTTCAGATCTTAACCGAAGAAAAAGATGGCCGGAATCGTTGAGCTTTTGCCGAAAGAGTACGGCTACATCATCCTCACCATCATTGCCTACGGTTTCGTCAACGTCTATATGCAGATTCAAGTCGGCAAGGCTCGAAAGAAGTAATGTTTCTCACACAAATTAAACACCCTGTTCCTTTGATTCTAATTGCCCTAAATTTGAAATTCACAAAGTTTTTGTGATGAAGGTACAAAGTGTATTACCCAATACTCTATGCTACTGAAGCTGATAGCAAGGATTACAAAATCTTCAACTGTATTCAGGTTTGTATGAGTTGTTTGCTGATTTGTTTTTGCAAAAATGATCGATTAGTCTATTCCAGTTTGAGTAACCTGGGGAGATGTATTTTGTTTGTTTGTTTGTTTGCAGAGAGGGCATCAGAATTCACTGGAGAGTCTACCGATATTCTTTGTTTTGATGGTTTTGGGAGGGCTTAAACACCCAGTTATCTGTACAGCTCTGGGATTAGTTTACACAGTCAGTCGGTTTTTCTATTTCACTGGTTACTCCTCTGGTGATCCTAAGGGACGTCTCCCCATCGGGTATGTGTTTGCTGAATGATTTTGACCGTGAATTTGATTGTCGTTCTCACGGGGAGTCTAACTTGTTGATTTGAGTTGACTCATTTTGAACATAGATTTGACTTTTGAGATGGAAATTAAGTTGTTTGGAAGGAATGATTGAATTTGTTGTGTTTGCAGGAAATACAACGGTATTGCAATCTTGGGGCTTGCGATTGTCAATATATCGTTTGGGGTTAGTCTTCTGAGGACATAATGAAGCAATCGTGGTGTTTGTTTGTTTGTTTGTTTTATGGTGTTTGATTATTAGAGCAAGAAGGCGTTTTCTGTAATAATAATCGATTTTGTTTAGCTTAAAATCCATCATCACCTCATCTATTTCTATCTTCTTTCACAGACTTGTGTATTTCTGTGAGAATATACACTAATTTCATGGATTCTGTTTTTGCTCTTTGTGAATGGCGATGTTCTTAATTTTTCTGTAAATGGTGGATTTACAAACTGTGGATTAATGGGGGTGTTGGGTTTCGATGAATTCAATACTCTTCCCTACTCCGAACCCGTTTCATGTTCATATGTTTCCACTGCAAAGGAGACCTCACCTCAGCATCTCCGATTGTAGCCGGGAATGGTGGTGGTTGGGATTGGGAAACAAGTGACGGAGGAGAGAGACTTAATTAAATACTGATATAAATCTTTAATATTCCTTAATAAGTCAGCTCCATATACTAATTTCTTTTAATTTAAATAAATAAAATCACCTAAATGTAACTCAACCAACTAATGGTGTTAGGTGAAGAACCTTTTCCCACACAAAATGCAAACCAAAAGTATAATTTCTAGTTTAAAATACCGTTTATCAAGTAAGTGTTTGTCGACATGAGTCAATTACCTTATCGAATTACATTGTCGATCATTAAAGTGGATTGTGGTAAACGTCTTTTATCTATAAGAACTTACCAAGTAAAAATTTTCGTTATTACTATGTAAGATTCTCGCTCTTCGTAATGTTCGCCGCTAAAAGTTTGACAAAACGGCCCCTGAGCCCCACTTTCAAATATCTGACTAAGAGTTATTATCATCACTTATCGAGTAAGAGTATCAATCCTTGCCTTCCCTCTTACCGGGTAAGTTTCTCGGTTCTTTTCATGTTTATCCGGTAAACGCTTAGCAAGGCAAGTGTTTCTTAATCAGCCCTAAGGATATAATCAAAGCACAATCAATAAAAGTTTTGGGCTATTCAAATAAAACAGAGGATTCTTTTTTTGAAAGAAGACATATATGGGATCCTTTTAAGTTTCTTGTTTACATATATACAATTTTGATTAAAAAAGGAAAAGTTTATTTAGCCACATCCCTGACATAACATATATACAAAAATTCGACCATCGATATCTACAAGAATTTCAACAAACAAAACAAAATCAAGGATTCAGGATAGTCAGGTATCAATGATAAGGGTCATTTACCAGTTGCTTATCAAGAAAACACTTGCCAGCAAAGTCACACCCTTTATTAGCTTTGTGTAACATTCTCACCTTCTACTCCTCTTGCTCATCATAACCGATTGTTTATAAACATCGTTTATCTAGTAACCGTTACACCGAATAAAAATGAAAACAAGAAAGATTCGGTTTTCTTATAATTAGGAATAAGGTCATTTATTACCAACTGCATGACGTCGTAACGTCATGTGAAGCGTGAACTTGGGGAGCAAGCCTAAGAAAGAGATATCCAACATCAGGAAGGTCATTTAAGTAACTTTGGGGGATTTGGGTTTGTTTGTTTGCAGAGAGGACATCAGAATTCATTCGAGCGACTACCGATATTCTTTGTTTTGATGGTTTTGGCAGGGTTTAAACATCCAATTATATGTTCAGCTCTGGGATTAGTTTACACAATCAGCCAGGTTTTCTATTTCACTGGTTATTCGTCTCCCCATTGGGTATGTGAGCTATCAACCTTTGTGTTTGCCGGATGATTTCAACTGTGACATCTAAGGCTATTCAATTCTCGCTAACTTGTATCCTACTTTATTATGAAATCTAGGATGGTAAAGTTTGATTTGAGTTCTCATTTTGGACATAGCTTTTAGCTAAGTTGGGTTGAATGTTAGATGTTCCGATTCCCGGTTATTTGGAACAGATTTAATCCCTACAAGCAATTGGCCAAGTGCACAAACTTTACAAGTCTGATGCAAACATAAGGGTATGAAACAGAAATGGGACTGTCCCTGATATATGGTGTACACCAATATTTTTGTGGCTTGTTCAAAATGCAGCAGTATTGCAATAGTCAATATTTGGTTTGGAGCGAGTCTTCTGAGGGCAGAATAAATCAGAACAGAACATCAACATTTCAGTGTCAACAAGGCAAAAGTCCGTTTTGGTCCTGAACTTTGAACCTGACCCAAACTATTTTAAATAAAAATCCAACTTGTTTACTTAAAATCATGCTATTTTGTCTCGAAATAAGTGCCAACAAGCAAATGCCTCTATATAATTATCAGGGTAAACTTGTCTTCTAATTGATTAAATATTGTAATAGCTACGATGTCTTCAACGTGGACATTTAAGGATATAATCAATAAAAATATCGGGGTTTCCAAATAAGAGGTCGGATTTCTTTTTGAAAGAAGACAGGATTCTTTAAGTTTATTCTAGAAGAAGTATCTATAACATACCTACGATTTTGATCAAAAAAGGAAAAAGTTTATTTATAGCTACCTCCTTGACATAAAATGGAACCCCGTGGCCGTGACTGAATGCATCAATATCTACAAGAAATCCAACCAACAAAAAGGATCAAGGATTCAGGAGGTAACATACCTTAGTTTTTGGAAGAAAGCCAGGCACCATCAACCCAGTCTTGATGAATCCTCAACAGACGCAAGGGATAAGCATTCTCTTCCTCTGTACTTTCAAAATACACAAAGTAATTCGACCCCTTTTTCCCGCTAATCGTCCCTACCCACCACCCATCCTTGTCATAAGCATCCACCACGTCCGCCAACGAAAATCCTGTGGCCGGAATCTCGGGAGGCAACGGCTGGATCTGATCGGCGGAGACCACCTCTCTCAAGGGACCAGAACCGTCGTCTTTCAAAAGAGTTCTGTACTGGACGATGTACTCTTCGTCCATTAGCCAGGTGATGATGTTTGCTGTAAAATATGAACCTACGAAACCCTCTTCTTCGCTTAAAATTTCTACTCGATCGCCTCTTTCAAACGCCATTGTTGTTGACGATGCTGATGCTGATGCTGATGCTTCTTTCTGTAAATTCATATTATAATCAAACAATCATTCAACTACCAAAATAAAAAAATTATGCCCAAAATCTAAAGCATAATCCAAACAGTATCGACTCACACAATCACTGAATTACTAGAAATTGAAGAAAACAAACAAGATGCAGAACCGGAATTCTACCTTGATGGATGCAGGGGACCTCATTGCGAGGACAATTTCTCTTCTTCTGCCTCGATGGATCATTTGGAGTCCACCGTAAGATCATGGGAAATAAAAGTAACCCTAAAACTGACGATTGGAAATTTGGTGGGGTTTAGGATTAAATGGGCGGTCGGATTTTAGATCATGGTTACTGGTTGAAAAAAAGTATTTACTTTTTTAATCTATCAAAGTGAATTTAAATATTTTTGTCACGCCATATTTTATTAGGGTCCAACTAAAACTAGTTAAATTCTATATCAGGGGTAATGCATACATTCATTCCTTTTGTATTAATTGTCCCTGGAGGGCGATTTCCCGATTTGAGGACGATGAGTCCCACATGCACATCATTTTGGAGACAAAAATTTGATTTTCATATTTGTGGGTAAGGATTGTGATAATAGATTATGTTTAAGGGTTGTGAGAGTAGAAGCGTTTAGATTACTACATTTTCATATTTGGACGTCTTTAACTGATAAAGATTAGGATAACCCTCCCATTTTGCACGTTTTGTGGTCTTGAGATCGAGACTCTGGATCATTGCTTTGTCGATTGTCCATTGGTGTTTCCATTATCGAAGGGGTATTATTCGTTGGTGGGGGTGGAGTCTTCCATCAACTATCTTGCTTGAAGAGTTGCTTACATGTGTGGATTCACAATCTATTACGGGAAGCAATTGGCCATTTTTGGAAGACAACAGTTTGGTCAACTTTATATTTAGATTTCCAGACATTGAAATAACAAGGTTTTCCTAAAGTGTTCTTCGCAACCTACCAATCACGATTATGAAATCCAATTATTATCGTTTCAATGGATCTCAACACTCAACAAGGAGTACAAGTTTTCCTGGTCTGACTGATGAAGGAACATGTGTTCGATGGGTAAAATTTTCGTGTCGTTGGTTCATTTCAAGGTATAATATGGAGAATTATAGAAGTAGTTTACTCTTTTTTTGAATTTTTTTTACTAATAACGTTATAAAAATCTTATAACTAGTTAATACATAAAACAGTTAAAACATGAAGGTACCCGAACCTAAAGGACTGATCAAGGGACCAATCCTACTTGTAACGATCAATTTTTATTTTTAATTTCTTTCATAAAGACCGGTCGAGATGAGAAGTTGTGTCATGCCTTTTGGAGGATCATAGCGGTTCAAAAACCAAGCGGTGGATCCATATACCATACCAGTTTTTGCCATCAGGACGATGAAGATCCTGCTGCTTCTTTGGTCAAACTCATTGCTGATATATCCACCTTCCACCAACTCTTTGGAACCTCCAAATCCCTGCCACCAGAAAACAAACAACTATTACTATTTATCATCTTTCTTTCTTTCTTTTAACCAACACTTGCCTTTCCCGCAACTTCTCTTTGCATCGATCCCTTGTTTCCTCATTGTAACCTCGATAAAACTTGTTGATCCGCTTTATTACTTGTAATCGCTTCCGACTACCTTCCATGATATCCCAAACCTTCAAAACTTGGATGCTTTCCACCTCTTCCTCCATCATCACAATGCTCCAAACCAGATTTAACCCCCTACCATTCACCTCATATATCTCGAACAATATAGAATCATGGCTAACATTCCCTGTTCGAGGC